ATATTGGCCTTTATAAAGGTAAATGACATCCTGTGGTAAATATTAAAAACATGCAGATTTAAGTATGTAAAAGCTGACAGAAAAGTGATGAAAATATTGCTTCAGAATAAATTGTTTACACCACCAAAAATCTCGGTGATGCGACACTTTTGTTTTGTGGGAATATTTTGTATGGGATATTGTCTGCTGATATGAAAAGTTCACTGTATATCGTAATAACAAATAGAATTTTTGACAGCGATGAAATTTTGTTTTCTTTTTACATTTAAACGCGTTAAATATTACATATACGTGTAATATAATGTGTATTTCCATCACAGGCTTGGTCTTAAATTTCACATAAGGTGGTATTAAAAAGGTCTTAAAAAGTCTTACATTTACATTGTTCATATCTGTAGACACCCTGTAACATAAGTACACAGAGTTATTTTTATTCATATGTCTTAGGTCAGTGGCAAAGAAGAGCAAATCTGTTTCTCAGACACTAAAGAAAGAGGGGGTTCTTACTTCAGAGCTGGAAATGGCTCTAAAGAACTGCACAACGGCTGGTGATATAGACCATGTGGTGAGAACAAAACAAAACAAGCTTCTCAGCTTACTTATTAATGTGAAACTTTGACCATTTGGTGAGTTTTTGACTGTGAGTGACCCAATAATAGCTTGTACTTATGTTTTTTTTTTTCTTTCTTTAGTATGCTCCCTATAAAAAGGGCAGTAAGCTGTCCAAGGCCCGGCGAGCTAAGGAGCTAGGACTGGAGCCTGTTGCATTGGCTCTGCTTCAGGCACCCCAGACACTGGACCTGCATTCCTCGATCCAGCCCAACACTAAAGGTATCAGCCCTCTGCATACTTACAACAGCCAGCCTGTTGTAACGGTGCTTGTACACCAGCGTTCACTACTCATTGTCCTCTGATGTGTGATGCTCACCCAGAATGTACATTAAATTAACATTGATGCTTTCTGAAACTGATCAATGGCCCCAACATCATCACTTCCATGTATTGTTTTAATATGAGTCTTTTATATTTTTATCTTTGCCGCCTAAATTACTGAATAAAATAAAAAGAATGATAAAAGACATCGAGTCAATAGAGGGCAGCAAAGTACTTTAGGATTTTTTTGTGTTGTTGTCTGCTTATGCTTATGGGCAGTTGACATTGACATATTACGGCAGTGACATAAGCAGCATTGTGACATTTTTCTAGGCGTTTCTCTCATTTATGCACATTCTTATGCATGAGGTTTAAATATTATTTTATAACTATATGGGATTTCTACTTCTAAAAAATCGGGAAAAAAAATTGCAAATATTCCACACTTTCCACCAAAAAAATGCAGTTCTCATAAGTTAATGCAGGGCCACTGATGACTGTGAATGTTGTTATGTGACATTTCAGCTGTTTCGTTTCCTGTCTGTAGGGTTGTCGACCCTGGATGAGGTGACCACAGGTGTGCAGGAGATCCTGACAGATATGATTGCAAAGGACAAAGAGACTCTCACCCATGTCCAGTCATGGTGAGACACTGATTATTTGAGCAAACTCATTATTTTCTTCTCTTAATTATCTTTCTGTTATCTATTAATCTGTTTGTCTTGTTCTGTTGTCATTATGTGGATCTCCCCACACATTTTCTAGCCTGTCAGTCCCAAATATAAGTGTGCGTTTGATAGAGCCCGACCGATATATCGTTTAACCGATATTATCGGCCGATATGAAATTTTTTTTTACAGAACATATAACGCAGATAAAATGAGTGAAATGGTGTAATTACTTAGTTTGTCCAGCAGAGCGCGCTCCATTGTTTGCTACTGGCAACCTGGATGAAACGCTTTAAAGCTTCAAGGGGTCATATGATGCGATTTCAATTTTTCCTTTCTCTTTGGAGTGTTACAAGCTCTTGGTGCATAAAGAAGATCTGTAAAGTTGCAAAGACTAAAGTCTCAAATCCAAAGACATATTCTTTATAAAAGTTAAGAGTCAGCCACACCTACCTAAAACGGCTCGTTCTAACACGCCCCCACATATCTACATCACTATGTGGGAAGATTTGCATAACGCCGCCCAAATGTTCACGCAAAGAAAGAAGGCGTAACTTTTATTCTGTGAATGCGCTGTGTGATTCGTTGTGAAAGCGAAACTACTTTGTTTGGTCTTCCATTCCCACCACTATGTCACACTTCACACTTCTCTAGTAAGTTTCGTCCGTGTGTGAAGACAGTAGCGCAAATCCGTGAATGAATGTTCTGAAGCGAAATAAACTTATATATAAGTTTAATGGAAATAAAGTTGAATGGAATTGAATTAAAGTTGAATAAAATTCAACTTTACTGTTCAGTGCACTGATATCAGACTCATTTTGAATAAAGTTTATTGTTAAATTGTTAAATGCCCTGCCTCCATCATTACATATCTTTGTCAAGTCATTATAAGTGTTTGATCACCACATGAGTGGTCATTGCAAAAAATGTGTTTATGTATATATATTCTGTTTATGTATATACTGTATTCTATATATAGTACCAGTCAAATGTTTGGACACACGAATGGGAAAGTGTCCAAACTTTTGACTGGTACTGTACTATAATATATACAAAGAATATCGGCCGATATATTGGTATCGGCCCCCAAAAAAACCCCATATCGGTCGGCCTCTAGTGTTTGACTCTATGTATGTTCGTTCTCAGGTGTGACAGGAGTGCGGTGACCATTCACTCGTCAGTGTCTAAAACAGCCCTGAAAGAACAGCAGCCACAGCAGGGCAATCAGAAGAGCAAACCAAAGGACATTGCCAAGTTCAGCCTGTATACTGACTTCACCTGCGATGTTCAGCGCATCCAGCATTATCAGGTATGGTAACCTCTTTATCTTGTGTCTTACTAGATTCACTCTACAGACAGGATACTTTCAGATCTCTAAACTTTTTTTTTTTTAATTGGAAGATTGGGACATCATTTGCAGTGATAGGCCTATAACTTTCTTACCTTCTGATATTTCAAATTCTACAGAAGCCTTTTCCACAATGAGATGTTAAAACATTTCATTTTCTGGATTAAATAATAATACAATTTATTTTATTTTTTTTTCAATTTTTTAGGTTGTCTTTTTATAAATAGTGAATCAGAGAACAGCAAATGATTGGGATAAGAAGGGGAAGTGGGTCTGGGAAATTATGAGCGTGATTTAAATTCTTACCTGGTTGTTAAATCTGACGTCACATGTCACTGTTTCCGGGTTCAAACCCTCCTCTAGATCCCAAAAGCAAATAAGGTGCTAATATCAGTAATATCAGTATTATTTATTATAATTATTAATATTTTGTATTAGCTTTTATTTTATATTTTTAGTTTTCTTTTTAATTTTAGTTTAAGTTATAGTATTTTTGTTATTTTCTTTTATTAGGTGTAATATTATTCCAGCTTTATTTAAAAAACAGAAAACATTTTTAATAGTAATCAGTAATCTGAATCATTAAAATATTGGTGTCCGGGACTTGAAATGCCATGACTACTCATTATGTATTAACTACCAGTCGAATATTTTGGACAACCTTGTCTAAAGTTATATTTCTTGTTAAAAATCTTAAAAACCTTTTAAACTAAAGGCAAAAGCCTAAAAGCTGAATTTTTTATTTATTTAACATTTTAGTCACAACATAATTCTCATGCTTGTGTTTTAGTTTTGATGACTGTTGAATTATTGTAAAATAGTACGAAAGTCATAATAAACAGTGAGCAGGTGTGTACAAACCTTTGACAGCTATTGTATATGTTCACACTCGGACACAATCCACCAGTCCTCACACACAGTGTTGTGCCATATACACAGGTCCTCGTGCCACTCTTTAAAGCTCTTCTGTCAGTGCTGTTTAACTGTATGTGTTTGTGTCAATGGTGCCCCCTTCCCCCTCTTTCACTTCATGCCCGCTTACTCAGAGTTGGTTGTGGGCCACATGTCACAGTGACTCTGTCATCCTTTTCTCCCTCTGTTCATCTCTCTCACCCCGTTCCCTGTCCCCCAGTCATTCCCGATCTCTCCCTCTTAACATATGTGACACGTCCCCCGTCCACATGCCTGTGGATTAAAGGCTAGGATTGCCAGACACTGCTTCATGATGACAGCCGCTCATGGGCTCTAGGGGAACGAGGGTTAGAGGGAGAGAGACAAAGAGCGAAAGATGGGCCGAATGAGTGAGTGAATGAGTGTTGGCGAGATCTCCTGTGAAGCATACAGTTTACCCGTTGTTAATCTGCTGACGTGGATTGTCAGTGAGTGTTAATTTGAGTTTGCCGTGACCTGTGAGCTGTCACACTCGGGCTATAATGAACCTTTTCATAGTTTTGCTAGAGAAGAGTGTGGAATGTATTTTGACAGGAGGCATGTGTATGCACACATACTTGCTTGTTTAATTTAACACATTACTTGTGAGAGTGTATTAAGGACAGATGTGTGTGTGTGTGGGGAGCGGGGGGTTCTATGTGCTCGTATTGTAAGGGTGCACCGATTGGTCTTAGTGACTCCATTATTAACAGAGGTTGCATTGATGCTTTATGTGTAAATTAGGCAGAAAGTTCATTAGCAAACTGTTTACATTAGTGGTGTAACAGTTTGTTTGAGCTTATGATAGATTGACTACAATATAATCAGTGCTAAACATCAAATGTTTTTTATAACACAAAGCTGCCCTTGCTAAAGAAAGAGATCATATTTATTTTGTATGGACAATGACCATTGGTGTATTCTGAGCCCCGTGTTGTGTATGTTTGTTTTTCTGTACATGCAAAAATAGGAAGTGAAAAGTTCATCCATTCTTTCTGTTTTTGTAGAGGCCATCCTCTATTGCTCTGTTCTACGGCAGTGCTGTTGACTTTATTTGGAGAAAAAATATTGAATCGGAATAGCTCAGTCTTTAAAATAATATTCATTTCTGTCGCTTACATTCCTCAAATTTTTCCAATTATGATTTCATTGTTATTGAGGAACATGATATGTTGAATATTTAGACTAAACTTTTTCCCTCTCTTCTGTTTTTAAAATGTCATGTCCTGGACTGTTGAGTCTGAAATATGACACTAAACCCAAATCTGTGAAAAATTGCTGATTTTGGTTGTTAAATTTAATCTGTAATTTTCCAGTTTATCAGCCTTTAATGCACTGTATGTGACAAACATAATTGTAATACTGGCTGTGTGATGGCAAGCAGAAGTGAATTTTCTTATATATCTGTGCGCCCTGTTTTTGACAGCTGTTTATTGGAAGAAATTTTGTCCTCCATTAATCTACAAAGCTATGCTCGCATGTATTTTTAGGATGTTTATGTTTCTTCTCAATGGTAATTTTACTCATGGCATGATTCAGACCAGTTTAATGTATGCATTAATGGATATGCATTAACTGCACAAGGCCAAGTTGGCAAGGACACAGGGCACGGAGAAAACTTTGATATCTGTTTTGACATTTCCCTCATCTCATGCAAAACTTCAAATGTGATAAACATCGCATGAGAAAACCCAAGTAAACAGCTGCCTTAGGGTGTTGAAATGCCAAAATATGGAAATATAATTTTCATCATATTTCTGGCTACATTAATTCACGTCTTGATCAGGCCATTAGCTGTTGAGTGGTGCAGAGGGGGCAGTTGCCTGCTCTGTGGTAAGGTGTGTGTTTTGTGTAGGGGGTTGGTGGCATTTGTCAGCTCGGTTCTTTCGCTTGGAGTCCAGATTGATGGGTCATCTTTTCCCTCTTGTTTCCTTTCAAAAGGTTTTCCTCAGAAAAGGTCAGATACTTAAAACTATTTGCTTCACAGCATGTCACTTTACCTTAGAGGGCCAGTAAGGGAAAAGTGAGAGAGACACAGAGCTTTCGGTGCGACACGAGTGCGTCTTGGTGCATGCTGACTAGTTTTAGGAGTGAACGGGAGGGGGTGGTACCGACGGTGCGCTACCGTGCCTCGCCTTGTGTCGGCTGTCTCTACAGGTTACTCTCTTGTTTCAGATGTTAGCCATTAACCGTGGGGAGAATCTGAAAATTCTGACAGTGAAGGTCAACATCCCCGACTGGGTGAAGAATGACTTCTGTAGGTGGTGCATCAATGTCAGGTCAGCACACACCCACAATGCCCACTCATGCACCACACCACATCTTCTTCCTCTCTCTCTCCCGGTCTGGCCCAGTGCTGTTGCCTGTTTGATGGGCAATGAGTTGGCAACTGACTTTTACACTGCCAGGTGTTGATAAGCCACAGTTTTTGATATTGATGTAGCTCCTTCCACGATGCCTCAGACCCTATTTCTTAAAAGGGATAGTTCACCCAAAAATGGAAATTCTGTCATTATTCACCCTCATGTCATTCCAAACCTGTAAGACCTTCGTTCATCTTCGGAACACAAAGTAAGATATTTTTAATGAAATCCGAGAGCTTTCTGACCCTGTATAGACAGCAACGCAAAAATCAGACTAGCACCACTTTTTACTTTGAGATCATTCTGAGGTTGAATACAGATTTAAAGTCTTAACAAGAAATAGTTTAATAGCTATGATACGTTTTTTAAAAATCAAATCTTTGCTTAGCTATGACAGGAAACACTGGCATCTAACAATGCAAGTTATAAAACAGTTATCGAATAAACGTGTCCTATAAACTCCTGAAACATTGGTGTCTGATATTTTAGAGCAGTCAGTGCAATTTGGGAAAGAAATCAATTAAATCTGTATGTGGGTGTGTGTGAAAATATTCAGATGTAACCCCCTTTGTAATCTTTAACATTTTCATAAGTAACTAATGTAATAAATTTTTTCTCAGTAACTGTAACTGATTACAGTTACATTTATTTTGTAATTAAATTACGTAATGCCGTTACATGTAACTAGTTACTCCCCAACACTGGTTTCTGGGCCTTGAACATGTCAGTCAGCAGGGTCAGAAAGCTCTCGGATTTCATCAAAAATATCTTACTTTGTGTTCCGAAGATGAACGGAGGTCTTATGGGTTTGGAACGACATGAGGGTGAGTAATGACAGAATTTTCATTTTTGGGTGAACTATCCCTTTAAACCAGTTATCTCCATAAATAATCATACTGTTGTGAACCCAAAATTACATGTTATAAAAATGTGTTTTGTATTTTAATTGTAATGCAACATATTTATAATAAAAAAATATATATGTTTTTATTAATTAAAAAAAATATTGATTTCTGGGTCATGTAACACTGAAGACTGAAGCAATGGCTGCTGAAAATACTGTTTTTTTTTAAAATGATTATTATTAAATAAATGCAGCTTTGGTGAGCATGTCCTTATATGTCTTGCAAAAACATAAAAAAATCCATTATCAGTTATTACTGACTTTTGAATTTCGAAGTCACTGTGCCAGAATTGATTTATCATTAAAAGAATATTTCAACTTCAATGAAAAGCACATTGTTTTCAAAAATATAATTAATGATCCCTTCATCACTTAAACTTGTAAACTTAGAACTTATCATTTCCTGTAGTGATTATACAATCACAGTCTCAGATTTCGAACGCACATACTAGTGGGTTTTTTGGCAGGCTGTATGAGCATGTAAACTGATGGACTCTATTTGCTGTATGACTTACAGGTGGAGGCCTCAGGGATTCGCACAGCCAGAACTGATGACGATTTTGAAGAATGCTATTGAAGATTCCTACAGGAGATTCATTCTGCCCTTCCTCAGTCGAGGCTACAGGTTTGTTCTTGCCGGATAGTTCCGCGCACTTTTGCGTCCATTCGTTTTTCAAAATGAAATTCGGAAAATATGGTCTTACCTTAATGGTTTAAACAAGGATGATTAGAATAAGCAGACACAAACTAATTTTCATTATTCAAAATTTGTGTTTCATAAAAATAATATAAATCTTGTTTTTTAATGTATATAAACGCTAAATTTAATTTCTACCTTTTTAGCGTCTCAGCTGAAAATATTTTTTTTATCAAAAAAATAAAAAGGAATTATAATTTTTTTTTATTGTATATATGTTGCATTACAATTAAAATACAAAATACATTTTTATAACATGTAATTCTGGGTTCACTAGAGGTGTTTAGAATCCACTCACTGCTCAAAACGCCACAGGTTTGAGTCTCTCATTATAACAAACAAAAAAGTGTAACATGATGTAAATTAGAAATTCATTGTGCAGTGTAGAGCTTCACTGATTTTAACTGAACTGTCTGAGATCGCCATAAACTGAAATGAGTGATGCTTTTTAGATCTTTGCATGCTTTCTTGGCTATAATCCATTCGGAATTTGAATACGTTTTGTTTTTTATGATGCTAAGAGGACCAATGACCGCTCACACGCTGCAAAGTTTTGGGAGTGACATCTGCATATAAATGCGGCAATTATATGTGGATGTCACTGTCATTGCAATGATAGTCTTTAACCATAACAATGGACAGGGCAAAAATATGTCAAAATCGATGTAAGCCTACATTAAGGCTACAGCACCCTCACTAATTTCAGAAGCACCCTCAGTGATTTAATTCTGGAGCCGGGCCTGCCTGTATCGGTAGAAGGAGAAATTATAATTTTATATAGTTCTATAGTATATTTATATATTTACCCCTTATATTAAAGCCTTGTGTGTAGCGCTCTAATGCGAATGCTTTTTTTCTTCCATATCTTCTTTCTCTAACATTCTGTTATTTACCTTTACAACTATTTTTCTTCCTGTCCCAGGACTAAGTTGACCACTAGTGCAGAAAAAGAGTCCATCGCCATGTTTGTTCGTAATCTGCGTCAGCGCCTTCTGATGTGTCCTGTGCGTGGGAGAGTTATCATGGGAGTGGACCCAGGATTTCACCATGGCTGCAAAATAGCAATCCTGTCCCCCACCAGTAAGAGAACCAGAATAAATGTGGAATGAACTTTGAATAAATGCTAAATCTATCTATATCCATATCTAAAACTATATCTATATCAGGGTTATTATCCTACAAATGTAACTAAAAACATAAAAATCATTACTTTAATTAAAATAAACTTTAACTGAAATTAATTTATATATCTATATATCTATTTATATATCTATCTAATGCAGGTATTTTGTCAATTGATTCTAAAAGTTTTGGGACAAAAAGAAGAATGGTGCTTTTTGTCTTAATATTTCAATGCATTTTTTTTTCATTATAATATTTATTTTATATTTTTCTAGTTTTTCTTTTGACTGCCAACTAATGGTGTCTAAAATTTGATTGTTATGGTAAATTTGAGGTGATGTTTTGAAAACTTTGTAATCACCAAATATAGACTAATATTGAAAAGGACTTAAAGGTGACATATCATGAAAATCTGACTTTTCCAGGTTTTAAGTGCTATAATCAGGTCCCTGGTGCATCTA